TTTGCAAACTTTGTGCAGCAGGAAAAAGAAATTTACTTTTGGCAAAGTAAAATTCTTTTTAATTGACCTTTACAAATAAATCAAATTTTTCAGTTTTTTTTTTCTTTTTTTAAGTTTTGATTTTCTTTTAAGCTAAAGAAAAAAATATCGATGGAAATAATCAATTTTCACATAAACTGAGAAAATGTAGGTATTTTGAGAGCATATATTCTTAATTTTAAAATTGTTTCACCTTAGTACCTTATCTATTATACCCAGTAAATGAGATTTTTTATTTTTTTTTATTTTTCTCAGGGTCACTGGCACATTTTTAAATCTTCATCTTCTGCTTGAAGTGTGATTACTATGTTTGGCCCTGACAGGCACCACCTCACACATAAATTGCTATAAAAATATATCATCATGATAACTATTACAGTATGTTGCTATGCATGCACTGATTCAGATACTTAAACAAATGCATGTTCCAGATGAATAACAGAGCTCTCTGACCCAATTCTTTCAGTTGGAACAGAAATGCATTTTGACATATTTTGATTCTTTGTGTGCTCTAAATTTAAACTTAAATGTATACTGGGTGAGTCAGATTTATTAGCTCATATCCAATACTAAGCAGAAATATTTTTTTAATATCCTGGATATGAAAGCAGTGGGCTCATTGTCTTACATGCTGCATATCTAGTTTCCACAGTAAATGTAATATTAACTACCCCCTGTCACCTACGCACTGTTGGATTGCACTTGTTTCTTTTTTCCTTTTTTTTTTTTCTTACCTTTGCCTATGATTTTTGCTTATTCTACCTCTATGGCAAACTGTCATGCTGCGGCTCAGACCTTTAGTGGTGAAGAGGAGCTGTTGCTGCACTTCCAGTTCATACTGGAAGTGCAGCAAGTACAGAGCTACATCTGTGCTATAGTCAGTTCAGTCACCAGATTATTGCAGAAACAGAAATAATTGCTTCCATACACTTCTTATGACATGTAGTAATGCTACAGTACATGTCTGTTGCAGTGGATGTTCATTTTGGTCCCATCTGCATTCAGTCTCATACATTGAACAGCTAGAATATCGGAAAATTCTGATACATTTGGATAGAGAAACAGAGCACAATAAGGCCTGGTGTTTTTAATCAATTATTTATCCAATATTTTAATGATCAGAGTGCCTGGGTGATCAAAGGCAGGGCTGGAGCTTCACTGGCTTTGCTCGCTAAGACATCTCTCTGTACTTTGATGTGGTTCACCAACAAATGCACTTATCCAAAGCATAACTCTCTCCCTGGGTTGGAATTGAGTGCTTTGAAACTACTAATTTCAGAGAAATACAATACAGAAAGAGACAGAGAGAAGGTCACTGACCAGCCAAAGCTAAGGGAGAAAAAAGAAATTTACACTTTATAGTCTCAAACAATCAGATGTAGAACTACAATTTTGAATGCCAACTAAATAGGAAGCGACCACAGGTCAACTTTTCAGATCCCTCATGTACGTTATCATATATTTAATTGGTTGGCAAAGTCTCTTAGATGAAATACATGTCATTGGTGTTGAATAAAACATTAGTTAGATGGGAAATAGCTGATGGTAGTTTCTAGTAAAAAATGGTGTTGTAAAAAGCCTGTCAAATGATGCAAATGAGAATTTTTCAGGTGGACATTGCAAGTTGGTGTTTAATATGCAAAAAAGTCATTAATTTTGCAGTAAAAATATTGGCTGGTTAAGAATAGTTATTTGTTCTTAGAACAACATTGATAAGAGTAAGGAGTGATGGTTTTCCTCCACTCTTTCTGTTTGGCATAGTAAAATGTGTGTTGAAACTTGCCTATTTATTATATTTTTCTTGCCAATTTCAAGTCTGGAAATTTCTCGAACACGTCTGTCCTTGTGCAACCTTGTCTGTGTGCTTCAAGTAAATACATATATGAATATGAAATATAACCCAAGGATAAATTGAGCAGTAGAAGTAATGATGTCCAAACCCAGGTGATGAGCAGAATGGAGGACTCAAAGACTTTAAGCCAGTAGATTTGAGGGTCGCCTTCTAAAAGCACTTTTCAATTCTCAACAGACGGAAAGATTCGTTATTAATTCCTAACAGGAAAATTCATGTATCCATTAGACGCACACAGAAATGCATTTTGACATAAATTAATAACGGGTCTGTCTTAAAAGTTATTTTGCACGAGTGTGGTTTTATTTTAAATAATTGCAATGTTATCTGATTTAAAATTAAGTTCTAGTTTTGGAACACCCAATATTTTACGTAGTTATAGACAAATCTCAAATATGAACATCAAATGTTTATTGTTTTTTTAATTGGGGATTTTTGAAAATTTTCTTAATTAATGTAGTAATAAGACACACCTATATTTGTTTTTAAAAAGTCATACAAAGACTGCTTTGCCTTTACTTTGTCTTGTGTAGGGTCTGTATAAAAAATGGGATTTATCTTGAAGAAACAACTAAACAATAGATTTGAGGTCCTCAAATTAAATAGTCTACAAAACAAAACAAAACAAAACAAAAAAAAACATTGAAGTATGCAGAATCAGTTGAACAGACTTTTATTGATTATCAGTTTTTCAACTTAATTATTAGTTTAAAAGAAACCTAAACTAATTATTTTGATGAATAATCTCAGTATGTGAAGGTTTGGGAATTTTAATCCTTTATTGCTCTCATAATAAATATTGCATTTGTTAAAAAGCTAATGTTCATGCCAAAGTTTTTACCTCCAGTAGTTTATTGGAAAGGTTTATTTCGAGAAACTTCTTCAGACACAGCCATTTGATTTTGGTCCATTGATGTGTATATTTTGTGGGCCAATACATTGACTAATTAGGCTTAGGGAGAAATATTTAGAGGACAATATTTCATGTCTATTTTTTACAAGTATTGTGAAATACTACAAAATATGTTGAACAAAGGGTGTGTATTTATAACGTGTCAAAGCTGTGCAATTTTAGGACATCTAGGCAGCAGAGTACTGTTCACTCAAATTCTCTTATACAGCATGCTATAAAGCATAACTTTGCATGCTACTTATTCTCATGACAGCAGACTTCTTCCACCTGTCAGTGGGGGTTTCTTTAGATAGTACACGCATGAACCTATACATTTAAAAATATCTTAAATGAATATTTTTTGGTATTCTGGGTAGGTCAGGGAGATGTGGACAGATACTGTATCTTCATGAGGTCTTTCTGCAGATAACTGAAAAGGTAACAGTGTTTCTTATAAAACTTTATGTAACATGCCTAAGTTGTTTTTCAGTTTTTTTGCCTCATACAAGGTCAGTGCAGATGGAAACACATGAAGCAGCTGGTCAAAAAAAGGCTTCATTGGCCTCACTCTAAAATATACCTTGCAGCAATATACGTTGTTCTGTGCTGTTAATTCAATGCATGTCTACCTATGGATAGCACAGACTTCTAAGTCAATTATCAGCAGATTAATTTTGACATAAAAGAGACAGGGAGCCAAAAAGGCAATCCCTATGGTCTTATATGACTGACTAACTAGAAAAGCAATTTTATTGCTGCTTTGCTTTTGTTCATCATCCCACAAACCCTTAAACAAAAACACCAGAGCTAGCTACTACTTGGTAATTAGATTGTGGTTAGATTTCTTAAAACATTTTTGCTGAACACTAATAGATTATTACAGCTATGCCTTTCATCTCAGTCTATATTCACAGCAAAGGTCATTTTAGGGTATTGTACAATCAGACAACTCCGGTCCATAAACATTCATATTGATGTATGAAATTAATCCAGTGCTATTTAGGAGTCGTAGCAATAAGACAGTTAAATTATTTTCAGAGTATAATGTTTTTTTGTTAAAATATCTGTTTATGAAAGCTCTAGTGATTGCATTGAAACATGTAGGTGGTATCAATCCCTCCTACTGAGTTGCTAGAATATGGCAACTGTGGAAAGAATCAACTGTATTTTATCAGTAGTAGATTTATCAGGTTTGCTATGAACAGGAATTTAGCATGTTGATTCTGAATGGAAATTATTTTACTTGTTCTTTAATAAGTAAGTCTCGGAAGAGCAATGCAGCCTCCATCACTTTATTTTATTATTATTTTTTTTTTAGAAATTTGATAGTCTCATTTTGGATTTTTTTTTTTTTTTTTTTTTTTGGTCAACATAATGAAGCCTTTTGTTTTTGGTGAATAATTTTGGTAGCTGTTTGATAGCTGTCGCTGTTTCTCTCTCAGCAGCAGAGTCCTGCGATGGCCAATTGTAGTAGAATAAAGCATTGAAAGGGTTTCCTGTTCATTGTTTGACCATTCCCCCACAGCAGTCCGCTTGGCTTCTCCCCTTGACTAAGTGGGTCTTCACTGCCAGACTTCTTTTATTTTCTTTGCAAATAAAGTTGCATTTTCAGATTATTATACACAGTACAAAGAAAATTAAATTGGTGATTAAAAATTAAACACTCTTATCTCTCTGTGAGTTATCTCAGTCCCCAGAGAGAGAGGATGCTATTTTGCAGGCTTGCGGGTGTCTTTTGTTCCCAATTTAGAAGCTTGTCGCTGTTTATTGTTAATTTTTGATGCTTCATTTGATATTCTGTTCACTTTCCTCTCTGAAATGCAGAGAAAACATCTTTATCAAAGTGCCAGATGTATTTGTTGTGTTGTCAGAGTGTCAGGTTTGCCTGAGTCTTCATATTTCTGAGATTTTTACTACCTTACATGTTTGTTGAGTAGCCAACAGAGCACTGAAGTGTACTACCAAACTCTGCATTTGATTTTAAAAAACAAAAAAAAATGACATATACCCTTATTCCCAATTTGGACTTAAAAATAACAGTAAAATCACAAATCAGTAAGGTTGTCAACTGTGAACTCTAGCTGACTCTAACAGAACTGAAATGTTCCCAGCACATTTTTGTTTGTTAGCTCAAACAATTGGTTTCCAAAATAAATATTGAAAAAATTAAAGCCAGCCACTGATCCAAACTAAATTGTTCTTGTCTTTCAGGAAGCCTGTCAACTTGGCAAGATAACCTCCGTGAATGTAAGTCTCACACATGCTCCTTTTTTGTTCTCTCTTAGGCATAATCTGTGTGTCAGTGCAATATATCCATAGACGTTATAGGAAATTAAACTCGGCATCAATTATTTTTGTTCAATTTCAATTTTTGCATAAGAATGACTTATTCCCAAAGGAATAGCTCAGGTTTTTTGAAGCTGGGTTATGAAGCTGTTGTGAGCAGGGCTTGTCGGTAATGTGGAAAACTGAAATATTTTTAGGCCTAGTTTATTATTTGATAAGAGGAAAAATGGAGTATGGAATATCCTTTGTATTTTTTTTTTTAATTCTTCTTTGTTCTGCAACATTGTGACATTGTTGGAACATTATTTCCATTCATCCATACATGCATTCAGAGAAGTTTATGTTTCAGAGGAATATGATATTATGATCCCAATGCTGAGTATTATGATGCCAATACAGCTTCTGACTGACAAAAATGTTTGACTCTTCATTGTTTTCAACAATACCAACACCCTTACCATTTCCTGTGAGCTTTTCATCTTGGCCACTAAACATACACATCTGAAGTTGCCGTCGAGAGAGTTGCTTTAGCTTGCCAAGTATATTGTTGCCATTCAGAGTTGGAATGTTTTGCACTTGTTTTGTAAATATGAGATCTTAAGACAAAAATGCAATCAAGCAATTTATTTCCATTTCAATATTGCAAACATTGATCTTGCAATGACAACTGTGAATCAATATACTGTGTCAGGCAAATTGTTCATTTCTATGAAATGGAAAAACAATTTACTTTACATAGCATATGTAATCTGAGCATTACATGCTATATGAAAACACGTGAACCCTGTAAGAGCAGTGACAATCTTATCCACACTAGTTGTCAAAGCAGGCCTTGTTCCAATGCAAAGTTTTCTCATCTTAAAAAAGACACTAATTTCAAATATCTCATTTAAAATCTAATTGATTATATAAAAGTTTAAGCTGATATTGTGATTATAGAATAAAATTTTTTGAAGATAATTTTATGGTTATTTTACCTGGAATTGCACCAATATCAATATGTCTAATATTTTTCAATTTTATACTGTTTAACATTTGCTTATGCTATTTACCACAGTATTTTCCTCCAACGAATAACAATAGTCTTATTTATTTGTAATAAAAAATATTGGGGAGGTAATGTTTATAAGCTAATGTGTGTCAATAACTGTGCAATTAAGGTGGTGGAAAAATCTTTTTTTTTCTTTTTTTTTTTTTACTGACCCCACTCTAATTTGCCTTTAGCTTGACTCTGTGGTGAGAAATATGAGAAATCTTTCTTCAAACCTGGATTTCTCAGACAACTATCTACTGCAGGTAAGATACTGCCTGCTGATAACATCCTTAAAAGCATTTTAAAATATCTAATTAATACGACAAACCTTTTCTAAATAACTAACACTGCAATAGAGTATTTATAGACTTTTTGAGAAAAGCCCGCTCAACACTTCCTGAGACTGACCGCTGAAAGTTGTTCACAGCATCAATTAAAACTCAGCTCCATTTCACACAAAAATTTAAGATTTCATTTTTAAAAAAATGAAGGAGAAGGGAATATTTGTTTTACAGTTATTGTATCTGTCATGTAGCACACTTTCTTAAAAAGAGATAAAGGTCAGATATTGACTTTCAACGGAGGTCATAGGTTTAGAGAAGTAGCATCAAAAAGATTCTGCTCGAAACAAAAAGAAACTTCTTCAGGAATAAGATAAGAAAGGCAAAGACCAGGACATCCATCCCATGCTATCTCATTTATGTATAATTTCTTACTGGAAATGGTTGTAATGCAACTTCCAGCTGTATTGATTGTGTGTTGTAATGATGCATTTCATGAATGGGACTGATAAGAGTTTGCTACTTTTTTCAAACTATGCATTAAAAATCTACAATAGATCAAAAATAATAACTTTTTCTAACTACACTTCTCCTTGGAAAGTTAAGAAAATGTGTAATGTGACACTAATCGTGCTGGTATTCATATCATGATAAATCTGAGTGTCTACAGCACAGCAGAATTTCATACTTGAGCTATCATTTATCCTGATTATGCTGTGGCATCTGGCAATCAGAATTTTTATTTTTTTTTTGCTCCATTTCATTTGTTGTTTTATATATGGTAGTCTGAGTCTACCCCTATTTATACTTGGTTAAACAATCCTTTGTCAATGCCAATAGGACAGAAAAAAAAAAAGTTTTTCTCTACCTGAAATTAGTACAGTGGTATGCAGCTCCAACTTTTTTTTCAGTTTCAGCAAAATATTGCTGGGGCTCTGTACAGAAAGGTTTGTTTGCTCAGCTTTTCTGGCTTTTTTTTAGCGCATTGCTTCTATTCTCTGTAATCTGTATTAATTTATACTGGGAATCTGTACAATGTATCCAAACATCTTGTATCTGTCACATTACAAAGATAAACTCAAACATCAACATATTTTATTAATTTTGTGTTATAGACCAACATAAAATTGTGGAAAATAAAGTATATGATTTTTACAGTGCATTTGCATTCAACCTTCTCTTTGTCTGATAGCTCTGAATACAAGGGTCTTTAAAAGTACTCTTAGCGTAGTCTTAGAGTAAATAGAGAACGTAAACATGAAGTCTGAGGGTGAAATGCTTTGTTAGGAACATTTGGATCATATATGATGGAGTTTGATTATTAAAGCTTGATTATTAAGGGCTTTGTATGTTAGGAGAATCTTAAATTTAAATTTATAAAGGAGCCAATGAAGGGAAGTTAAATAGGATAAGTGTGAGCGCTCTCTTTAATTGTTATCAGAATTCTTGCAGCAGAGTTTTGGATTAGCTGAAGGCTTAACTGCATTTTGTGGACTTTGTCATAGAGAAGAACTACAGAAGTAATAATTCCATGTAGTAGTTTTTCAGAATCAACCTGCAGAGGTTGTTTCTAATTTTGGCAATTCTGGAGATGAAAGATAGGAAGAATTAGTTTGGGATTCAAACAAAGAAAAAACACATAGGTTCTTCACTTTATTATAATTCCATCCAGACCTAGAGATTGACTAAGCACTTTGTTTTTCAGAGGTCCAGGTTTAAATATGACAACTTTTGCCTTGTCAGAATTGAAAAGCAGAAAGTTCTCCTGACTTCAAGACTATAACTACTTAACTGACTGGATTCATCAGGATTTATGACATGATATAATTATCTATAGCTGAGATAAAGTTTTTAAAGCAGGAATAGATAAAGCCATATCCAAAGCTTTAAATAACGTAGAGAGCACTAAGATTAATTCAAGATGGAAGGAGGATGACAGAGGTAAATGCAGGACAGATCAAACTATGTAGAAAACCCAATAAAGACTTAAGACTGGGACTAATCTTCATCGTTCAATTGAAAAATTACTCTAAAGTTAGAGACAGAACTATAATCCTGACATGCTTTATCATAAATTCTTCTGCTTGAATGATCTAGTCAAACTCCAAATGTGTCAAATTGCAAATCAAAGGAAAGCTAATCTATTTTATCACTGTAAGCTATTCTACAGATAAAAAATAAGATGGATTCACTCTAGATGTACAAAGTTGGCAAGATGTGCCCTCAAAAGTTGTATTTAACTGTAAGATAGTGTATTTCTAAAAATCCTTGATTCAGTAGATCTATATGAATAACTGTGCCACAATTTTCAGCTTATTTGTAAAAACAAAAAGATTGTTTTCCTTCCATTTCAAATTTGTAATTTATAAAAGTTTTTTGTCCTCATGAAATTACAATAAAATCTGTTAATCTTTAAGCTACAAACTTAGAGTTGTGGTTTAGCAGTTGTATCAAAACTCTCATGCCTTCTTATTTGCAATGTGTTGTTTTTTTGTTTGTTTTTTTGTCATAGTGGTCAGTGTAAATCTATCACAGACGAGTCAATAGCGAATAAATTGATGAAAATTAATTTGATTTGTCACAAATCACTCCTCATTCTTCCAACGCCCTTGTCAGAATCACCACCTTCACTCATGTTTCCTGCTAAACCATCAGCTCACCCCCAGAAACACATTTCCTAACACGTATTGGGCTGCAATGGAACAACGTGTAACAGAAAAAACTCAGCTCGGAAAAAAATATCATCTGCCAGCAGATTCTGTTGATGCACATTTTTGACATCATAGAATATGGGGAGACACTCCGCTTTGGATTGAGGTATTCCTTTATAGTTTTCTGTTTTTTTCCTTCTTCCCTTTTCATGTGTGATGTAACAAATCACCATCTCCTCGGAGCAGATTTATGCAGGTCTAGGTGTGCCCGTGAGGTGATCCTTATCTGAAATGGCAGAGCCAATCTCCCCTGATTCACTTCTAAGTGGTCCCTGTTTATCACTCAAAGTGAGGTGGTTGTCAGCCAAGTCCTTTTCCGTGGTGCGCCGTTCTTTGCTGTTTGGAGAGAGTGATAGTCAAGGTAAAGTGCATGGTATAATAAAACTCAAAGAGCTGTGGTGAGAAAGGACAAGGTGGCAGGCACTTAGCCTCCAGTCCTCTATCTCATGTAACGGACTCCTAATCTAGTAACCCGTGAATCCTGCCTCGTCTGCTTGGTTACTGGAGGTGCTTGGTGGTGGGGTGCAGCGGGATAGGATTTTCTGGCAGGTTACATGCTAGAAATTGGCGTGCATTTCTGCTGTTTATTTTATCTCTGTGTACATACTTCTAAAGGCAGTGTTTTGTCTGACTCAAAGGGCTTTGTTTGGTCTTGATATCTCTTACTGCAGCTTGTCTTTGCTTTATGGATTTCTGGCAGCTTCTCTAAATAAGTGATCATGCTTGACAAAACCTTCACCTTGACTCCTGGTTGTTTGTTTTCCTCTGCTTTGTTTGTCTCAATGTTTTATTCACATCAATCATTACCACTGGGAGCAAAAGTTTTATTTATTCAAGACCCAATAATGGTAGTTAATCCTAATTAATATTGTAGCTCTGAATAACTTGGTATTGAGCACATCATGAAACCAAATTAGGCTTTTTTTCACATCTGGCATCAGCTTGAATGAGCTTGAATAAACAAAAGTCTGAAAAAACCCCCCAAAACAGGAAGACACTCCCTTTACGCAAAGTGATTATGTCCTAATTGTCACGCGCAGCTGTTTGTTCTAATAGATTCTGGATGTCATTGTTGGAGCAAGTTTTTTAATAATTGCAATCACGTGGAGAGGGAGTCGTGCTTTTTTTTGTGGTGCTGCCAACCCTCTGTAGTGGGCCCTTTCTTTTCCTGGAACCTGGGCAATGCTTTAGCTTGCATCCTCCAGCAATTTCAGAAACAGCTGCCAAAGCTGTTTGAGAACAAGTAGATATTTAGACTACTTGAAAGCTTTTGCAAACATGGCACTCAGAGCTCTGTAACTTGCCAGTAAGGTATCTGGCTCATTTTTTCTTAGGAAATAATATGTAAAATGAAGAAAGGAAAAGATTTGTTTTACAAAGCCCATTAATTGTTTTTATTCTGATCACATAAAATTTAAACCAGAGAAAAGAAGAATATGACTTCTTTATTTTCCCAATAGAACACAGCACAACATAAAGGTTTTGTTTCATAGCTGTCAGTTGAAATGCACTTTGTTCCACTGTCTGCCCTTTCCTTCTCTCTCATTTTCCTTATTTCTTGCGTTCTTACCAACAAATCCAGACAACAAGAGATTTGCCTCAGGATCTTGACGAATCAAGTAAATAGAATATTTAGCAGGCTGTTTCAACATCACGGCGTTTGAAAATCGCTCAGTTGAGCTTTCAGGGAGCTAATTGTGTGGATTTAGGTTAGTCGACCCTTTCTGATAGTTTTCAAATGAGGCATTTTAGTTGGTTTTTGGCAGCCTGTCCTTCATTAGAGCTTGGTTTATTTTAATCTTCCATTCACCTGCTTTACAGCCCTTGTTTGTTCTGATGGAGAAACAATATGCATTTATCAGTGCACTGTAGAGGCTGAAGGGGGAAAATATGTGAGAAGAAGAGCATCACCTCCTCCTGAGCTCAAAGAAGCATGTGTTAATGATGTCTTTAATTCAGGACTTGTATCTTGCTTTTGTTGCTATAGCAATGAAGAAAATTAAGATCGTCATTTGCACATCCGTTGTATTTGCTTTGAAAGACGTCTTATCGGTTTGACCAAAGCTCTGAATTAAAGTGCAATGCAATAGCCAAACCAAAAAGTAGATTTTGCTTTTTAGCTTCTCTGTGATGTGACGTTAAACAAGTAATAACGTGGGGAAAAAGGGTCAACTGTCTTACTAAAAATCTCAACTTGTGTTTATTTTAATCTCAGTATTTATACAGCTGTTCTATGAAGACATTTAAGGTTTCCAAGGGAACAGTAGTAAAGCGACATCCTCATGGTGACCAAAGAAACAAAACCAGACCAATCAGGGTAAATCTGGCCTTTTAAAAAGAGTGCCAAGAAGGGAGCCATTCTTAAAGTCTTTAAAACTCTTTAATGTTTCACATAAGTCATGTACAAGACATCTGTGAAATAAGTTACTATGGTTACACTAACAATGCACATCACCCTAAATGTACCATACTTAGGGTACAAAATGGTGCATCATGCTGTGATGAGGCTTTTCAAAAGGAACGGGAATATTATTCAGAGTTGAGGGAAAGCTAGATGGGGCCAAGTATAGTCCTGTTTTAAAACCTATTAAGGCTCAAAAGACTTGTAATTGTGTCAGAAATGAAACAAAATGAAACATACAGTCAATGCTACAGTGAAATGGTTCTGATCAAAACATATTAATGTGTTAAAAAAGCTCAGTCAAACTCCAAGTCCCAGTCCAATTGCGATGCTGTGCCAAGACTTAAAAATTCTTTAAAACTGAGACTGCGCCATCTCTTCCTGTAATGTTTTAGTAGTGATGGTAGTAACAGTAGTGATTTTTAATGTAACTAATTTATAGAAAAAAGAAACTAATTCAAACAAATGTGTTTTCCTTTGACAGTACAATTTGATAAATTGTTACTGGATTATAAAGTATCTTACTTGCCCATCAAGAAAGTCAAAGTATTTACCTATGTGTCTGTTTGAATGATTTTTTTTTTTTTTTTTGCTATATCAATGACCGAAACTGTGTGGTTCTTTGACTCTAAGAATTGTTCATGTGTTATTATACATTGCCACATACAGGACCCGTTTTCTTTTCTAGCTCCAAAGAAAGGTCGCAACATGAACTTCTGCAAACCTCTGGAGAAATCAAAGAGCCTTGCACTGTTCAGAGGAAAACACACACACTCATGTGATCCCAGTGACTTTTACAAATCAAAGTCTCAGCCTACACACGTTTTTTTTTTCTACCTCTTTTGTGCCTAATTTGGGTGAGCGGAAAAATTAGGACATGGTTCAACCTGTTAACACACATCCCATCTATTCTCAGGAAGAGTATCAAACAGGTCCTCAATTATAAGTCTTGCAGTTACTTTATTAGCTGGAAAGTAATTCAATAGACTCAACAGACCAGAAGCAGTTCTGGGTTATGAGGTCGCTCTCTCAATTTCTCTCAATTAGCAGCTCTAATGACAAGATAAAGTTTGGTCATATTTCAGCGTTGGAAGGAGGTGACGATGATCGATGCAGTGTTAATCATGCTACTCTTAATACATTTAGGCACTTAATATCTTCTAAATGTTCCCATCCACCCATCAACAACCATTGCTGCCACCGTTCATGATGATGTTAATAGTCTTTGTTTGTGGAAGTGTGGAGAATTTGCCTCTTTGAATTGAGGAATTCGCTAGAATGCTTTTTTCAATAACAGGCTCTTCATATCCTAAAACAGCACACTCCTGTTATGTTTTCCTCTGGTGACCAATAAATGAGCCAGTCAGTATTTTTTTTCAAAAGAAACACAAGAAAGTCAACGTAGTAGAAACTAGGGTTAAGGGTTACACTTTGAATTGATAATTACATTGGTTTAGAGACACACTGGGACTTTTAAGATGGTATATTCATACACACACACACACACGCAAATACACACACTCATAGGCACAGAAGTAGGGCTTCCAAGACAAAACACTATTGTTTTTTCACCTAGCTCAAATGATAAAATACATGCAGATAGTTTTTGGAATAATGTGGCATTGTTTTGAGATAAGCTACCTCTGTTTTTTCTTTCTTCTCCTTAGTGTAACCGAGGTGACTGGAATTTTGACTGCAGTGCTCAATGCATTCAGATATTACATTTTGAAATATTGAACAACAATGTTCCTCACCAGAGGAGATTTCTTCCTCTTTTTCTTTAGCTTAGTGGATCTTGCTGTGAGGTTATCATTTAAACCCCAATGCAAGAGAAATTTGTAGTTTGTATGTTCTCAAATGCAATACTTATTCTCAGACAAAAATGGAGATGGTATTTTAACATCAGTAAATTAACCCCTAACCACAAGACTATGAGTCCTCTTTAATGGCTTGTAAATTTAGCTTGTCTCTCATAAGGCTGTCTATTTATCTTCCATAGACACAACGTCGTGTGACCTTCCATCTTCCGGATGGTTCCCAGGAAAGTTGCAGTGACAGTGGGCTTGGGGACGCAGAGCCCAGCAGCACAGCCAGTGCCACCCAGCCTCTCCCCCTAAACTTCCCCCAAGAGGAGTACTATGAGCAAGCGTCACCTAATAGTCGCACCGAGGGAGACGGAAACTCAGACCCTGAATCCAGTGAGTAGCGATCTGTTGCATTTTTGAGAGAGCAAGCAAACATTTGACTTTGTGTTTTATTTTGTACTTCAAATGCTGACAATTTGAATTTACCATCTATGATTTTAGATGGTACTAATACTCAAAAATAATGTTTAAAGTTTGATTATGACAAATCAGCCTTGCAAATATTAAACAAGCAGATGATACTTGTCAGAAACCTAAAGCAAGCCAGCTGCACATTTTGGACTGCTCTTTCAGTGTGAAGAGCAGATATCTTTTTTGATACAGAGCATATGGCCTTCTGCCGAAGATACATGTATGAAACTGCATGCGGGAACCACGAGTCAACATAAAAGGTTATCAATCAGTGTTAAAACAATTAGATTTTCTAATTGAAGTAGACTGTACCAATGAATGTACATTATCTAATAATGTCCATTTCCCTGTGATGTGACAATGTAACCACTTTAAGAAAATATCGCTGTACACCACAGGTTGAAAATCTTGAGTTGCAACGTGATCAGGCATCTTGTTATTTGATAAATAAGGAAATAAGAACAGACAACACTGGACAGTAATTGTCTATATGGCTCAAAATATAATTAGCGTGGTCAAACATTAAGTGTATTTTTCAAAAATAAAGACATTTAATCTCAGTTTGAGAATTTTGAAGCCTATGCTGTTTATAAAAGCCCACAAGAGACCATTTTCAGTCATTTCTCAGAAGTCTGACTTCACATCGGGAAAAGTGTCAAACATATAATACATACTGACTGAACCTGACTGAATTATTCGACAGTAGCGCACATGCTTCACATTTTTGAACTGCACTAATATTCTGTGTGTTCTATTTCACAGTTTTTCTTGAAAATAAACCAAAAGCCATCGCTTTCATTTTAGATTCACACTATAATTGGGTTAATTACCACCAAGCTACAGTTATTAAAGAAAATAAATTTTGCAGGGCTGATTTTTGTAAATGTTGAGAGCTTGGCTGTATAATGAATGCTGTGAATTGTACCCCTGAGGTGGGAACTTTGTTGCAGAGATTTTCGTAAATGATTCACAAGACAGCTGTCACTTCATGGCTTACTGCCCAGCGATGTTCCCCATAAAAAGCGTCAACTTCTTCCTCATGCATATACAATACTTTCTCTCTCTTTTTTTATCCCTGTTCAAGAAACTTGCTGGAGGGGAAAAAAAGGAAATTTTCTACCACTGGCACTGGCGATCCAAAGCGTTTTTATCAGCAGCAGTGATATTGACGAAATTATTTTGCCTCACCACGGAGTGGACAAGGTTATTCTGAGTGCTACCTCCTCTGTTCAAGATTGATATTCCAGTCCTAGTGAATCAGATTGTATTTTCTTCAGGTTACCTTGCATCACATTCTGCAGACAGGACAAAGACTCATTTCTGCACGTGCCTTTGGTCCTTCTGTGGTTCTGTGTGTGTAATTGTCAGCATTGCTTTCAACATAACTCTGAATTACCTGTCAAAGAATGTTTTTTTTGTTCTATGTAAGTGAAAAAAAGAAAAAAGAATACACAGGACAGCAAAAAACAGATAGCTTTGCATACACCCACATGTAGTACAGTCACTGTGTCACTGTTGTAAGTGAGACAACAGGCCCTGGTTCTTCCCTAGCAGCTGGTCTGGTGTTTCCGAGGCTGGAGTGTCGGTGTGACACCCTTCATCATTTTCATACAGAGGCTTCAGCAATTTGGAAAAATTTTCCCCGTAGGAAGTGCATTTTATAACTTTACTTAGTCCATGTTTTTTTTAATGTACCTGTACCTCTGCATACAACAACAAACACTTAAACATACATCCTTAGATCAAACCACTTTTTCCCAGGCTGTCCGTGTTAATGCATGCACAGTGTCGACGGTGGTGATTCATGTATGTGATTCATTTAGACGCAGACGCAATTATTCAACGTTTCATTAATATTCAGAGGCATAAACATGTAATACTTCATAAAACAACTCAAACATACAGTTATTATCCACATTTCCCCCTGGGCCGTGTTTGCCGAAGTGCATTAGTTTTTAGGTTGGGAGCAATGCTGATGTGATAAATGCTTGTGTATTTTTACAAATCGCTTCACTAGGAAGCACCATAAAGTGAACGCGATGTCAGAGTCTAATGTCAGTAATTGGATATCAGAACAGCTATTTTTAGTTACTTTACCACAAAGCTCCTTCTAACCCTCTCTTATCACAGTGATTTTACCAATGTCAATGTAATTCTCACTGATAAAGTGTTAAAGGCTTGTTGAAGCTGACAAGACATGATCATATTCAAGGACAGTGTTTAAAGAGAATGGAGAGATTTATTATATCCATATTCATATTGTTATGTAATTCATCAGTATCACAACACATATTAAAATCCTCAAAACCTTCTTTGAAATCCAGACACTTCGTAATTTACATTCAATGTGAATTCCAGCTCAACATTTACGATCAAATGCAACTGAATATTGTGCTTACTCTGACATTTTTTGCATCATTCTGAGACAAAGTCGTGTGAATCGCCCAGCTTCATTTCGTCTTCCACAAGTTAAGTCAGATAAACTCTTGACTCTGTTCTGCTCAGTTCAAAGTGAAGACGGCTCTCGTGTGCATTGATGGTCTCGGAGATGAGTGCGTTTGGTGACAGAAGGGGGCCTAAGATGGATTAGATATGGTTTTATCAATGAGCAACAGGACGGCATGGCGGCTTCAATTTCTTATCATATTGTCTCAATTTGTAAAGCAGGGAGAACTAGAATGGAAAAAAAATAAAAAAAAACAGAGGAAGCGTGGAAAGTGAACCAAAAGAATAAAGATCTTAAAGCAGAGTGGTAGGACCATAGTTTCTGGAGTCACAAGTTGTATTGTTTTGTAAAGGTGCAGCTTGGATCTGAATGTCAACTCGCACTGAATAATTTCCTGTGCCAAAGGCAAGCCATGTGGCCTTCTTATGACAATGAATTTCTCGACTCCTCTTTAAACCTGCATCTTTATTAGACCACCTTCTCTTGAAATAAAGTTCATATGACATTTTATGTTTCTATTATTTATGAGCTGGGTGGCTGTTCATTTTATGGGCTCTTGCCTCCCCCTCCAGGCTTTATTCACCACCCTGCCATCACTCTTGTGCCGTCGCCTTTTCTTGTCACATTTTGTTTCAAAAGGTTTGATTGCTCCATCTCTGTCCCAACAAACAGATTAACATAATTTGCATTCAGCCTCCTCACATATTTGACAACCTTTTATGGCATTAAAATTTCCAGCCATTTAAATTGTATCTGACCTTCTTGATTAAATTTTTTGTGATGTAAAAGACAGAAAATGATATATGCCCTCCCTCACCAGAGAAACAATATTTATTTTCATAACTGTGCATTTCCTTAATATTTTGAGTTACAATTGATTTTCCTCTCTCACAATTTAACTCAATTTGTTTTGACACATATTTCCCACGTTTGCAAATAGCACAGAGTCTGGATATTAGAACATAATGCTTGACCCAGTTAAGCTAAATCATTTTTATCTGTGGCTATGTTATTTGTCTTAACAGTGACCACTGACTTCTTGGCTTCTGTTAAGCTACTTTTGGAGTGAATTTCTTTTTTATTCATTCTTTTATTTTTGCTGCTCAGTTAATGCCATCCCAGCAATTCTGACATTCAGTGCAATAAAAAAATGATATAAATCATCATGTGGAAAACAACAATCACTTTTAAGCCTTGAGACACAGTCTACCAAAGTGGGAACAAATCCCTGACTCTAAATCCCCAACATTTTTCTAACAATACATGTTTTTTATTTTTTCCTCTTGATGATTTGTAATACACTTATTTCTTTCTCCTGTTGTCTGAGTTTTGGGGATTTAGGAGCTTGTGCTTTTTGCCCACTTACAAGCAGCTCACTAAAAGCGGTTCCGATGTGGGGTATTAGTCTCCCAAAGACACATGAGAAAAGCCATACAGCAAAGTGCCGTATGTTAATCTGTAGCATATGGCTTTCAAATGACCACTTTGTCTGTCTGAGATCTAATCTGCTATTAAAATAAGCCAATCCCGTTTAAATACTGCAAGTTTAATAAGATTAAAGTTTTAAACGTGGTCCATGATGCATTTGCAAAGCTAACGACTTGACAAGAAGGTACAAGTTTATCAACTTACAGATTGTGATCAGTTGTTTGTGAGCGATTCTTATCCACATAATATTTTATGATTTCTGATCCCAAGAAACGAGTAATCTGATAAGACGATAGCACAATTTGAAGCCTTTTAGGCTTTGGAAAAGGCTGTTTCACTTGGCCAGAGGCTTTTGAATCTTATTTTGTAAGAAAATCTACATCGCAATATGTGGTAGTCAGTTCAAATCTGGATCATGATTGAAGTTCAACTGTCTATTATTTTATCAAGCATTGATCTTAGAAAATGACAGCACAATGAGAAAAACAGCTTTTTCTGGGAGAGATGCTCCCAGGCCAGAGGAGAAACATTGTATTGCCAACTTGTTCTTTGATCTCTTAGGCTTCTTCTCCCATTGAAGAAACCTAAGCCTCTCATTGGATGATTTCCAATGAGAGGCCTTCGGGGGCATCCCGAAGGCCCCTAACTGCCCCCTAACTTGGAGGGAACAAACTGCCTTTTTCTAAATAAGTCTTCTCTAGACCCATAGAACACATGTGACCAGCGTAACCAAGTTCTAGGACCTCCTATCCAAACCTCGATTAAGCTTTTCCAGGGATGTTGATGCAGGTCAATAACCAAAGCACATCTCCTGACCTCCTTTACTTAACTTTTAGACCACTAACCTGGTCTTCTACTTCATTGAGATTCTCCCAGTCCTCCATGTGTCATTGAAAAAAGCATTTTAAAATTACAGTCTAACACTGAATTGTAATAGTCTTAATGCTGTCATCCAGCACAAAGGTATTCCTGGTAGAGGAGACAACAAAGTTATATACTGCTTCCAGAAAAAGCAAAGTGCATTTTGTCATTCATACAATTTGCTTAG